AAGACATGTAATTTACCAAATAAAATTAATTCTAATCCACCCCTCCCTCCTAATCAATATCGTTCTTTATTAATCAACTTGACTATATTATCCTATATCATTTGAATCGATCAACATCTTTGATTGATTACGACGACGCTGGTCGAAAGCCCCATTTTGGCCACCTTTCCTTCTACAATTCGTTGCCAATTATTCTGTAGAGAAGCTCTTCAACTTGATTTTATTTGAGAAAGAAGGTAAGTGCATCGATCATTTATTTAATTTAAAAGTTCTACTCGGCCAACGATAATATTTCAACATCATACTCAACTAGTCCTCTTGATTGTGATATCAATATGATTTATTCTGCAATCATCTATATCATTCTTGATAGAGAAAAAAATTCGACGTAATCTTCTCCTCCAGATATAACCGTACCTACTTTATTTCCAGTTATCATTTTATTGATTCTTAAAGATTATTGTCGATTAATTTCATTCCCATATTGAAAATTCCTTGACTAATCAGCCAATCACTTTTTAGCCAAACTATTTGCATTGATTGCTATCAATAATGATAAAATCTGGATGATATTAACCCACCTCGACTATTTTTTAATCATGTAATATTTCTATCCAGAATTTTTAAAGTGGCGGCTCTTGTTTCTATACCGTACATAGCAATGATTTTACCTCCTATAGATCAATATTCAAATGAATGATTTATTTCTGCCCTAAAAAATTTTCGGTATATTGACTGAATAAATTTTTACGAGAACTCATCTTGGCTCTACATCAAATGATTGTATTTATTGCTATTCATGATGATAGATACCGGTATATATGTTAAGTCCCTATGTAGATCTTCATAGTATTCAATTCATTTCTGATACTATGCTAACCAATAATGATAAATCCTGGGTGATATTGATCCAACTCGATTATTTCTATTTTATTTCTATAATATTTCTATCTAGACTTTAAAAATCTCGATTTTTGCTTCTATACCTTATAGCATTGATTTACAACACCAGTGAATAAATATCGCAATGAATAATTTATTTTCGCATTAAAAATTTCTCGGTATATTGACTGAACGAATTTTACAAGACCTCATATCCCACATCAAATAAATGTATTTATTGCTATCTATGATGAAAAGTGCCTATGTAGATCTTCATAATGTCTAATTCAAATGGTATGGTATGGTGCGGTAATTTTACAGTATTCTCAATTTAAGGGCAAATATTAATCAAGATCTTACACCTTGATACCCACGCTTAACTTATTTTATTATTAATTTTTCAAAGATCAATAACAGGATAAGGGTTTGCATTTCTAAATTAAAAATTTTTGAATATCCTAACTAATGGCTTTGATAGAATAGATCAGTAGGTTTTATTCCCATTTACTACCATCGAGATAATGAATCCTTAATAGGGCCTTTATATTATACATTTCTACTGTATTATTACAATATCTGTATACCATTCCAATCCAGAAAGAAGGATTCTAAAAAGCTGATTTTATGTCTTACTGTAAATTAGTTCAAATGCTAGTTTAGTGTTATCTTTATATCATCCATTTCTACTGTACTATTACAATATTCATATAGCATTTGAATCTACAAAGAAAGACTCTAAAAACTGATTTATGTCTACTACAACGGATTCAATGTTGGATCACTTTTGAAAGCAAATATTCTAGGGAAGGTTTTTCTTTCGTCTAAAAATTTTCAAACTCGTTTACTGGCCACTTCACCGGAAATTATTGTCATTTTAGCTGACATTATTTGCATACTGATATCAAAATTACTCCTAGAAACTCTACTCCTGGATTATCTGATCATTTTAAACAACTTATATTGAACATCTACAGACTGGTAAAGCACTACAGACACTTAAATTATTCTAAAGTATGTTAGATAATTTCTTCTGCCATAGTTAGTTGTCCCTTAGTTGATGTAACTCGCACTTTATCATTTATAACCTTGAATTCCCATCCATGTTCCATGAAGAAACTCAACTGTGGAGCAAGATTAATCTACCCATTGACTGCGGTATAAAGACTTGTAAAGCATACAGGCACTTTCATAAAATATTTCCGTAAAAGATTAGTAATATGTTCCTAGTAGCTCCTAGACATATTAATTAAAGACCTTTTTCAATAGTTGATCCTCTCTTTACTCTATATTATTTGCATTTTTCTATTGATAGCGACGAATCTTGCTTCAAGTCGCTCAAATTCTACCTTATTACCAGTTTCTTTAACCTGTCCATTTAGAGTAAATTGGCACTTTTTAATTGCTATCCTTTATTAATTAACCAATTCTACTACAATTAGCGATCAATTTTTGCCTCAAATTTTGCTTCTAGGTTATCCGATCATTTTTCTAATCTGCCGATTTAGAAAAATTAAAATCTGTAATTACTAATAGGTGATAAAAGGATAAATGATGTAGAATCTCAGTAGTAGTAACTATTAAATTTATTGACATATTTTTCATTTTGTAGCTGTTTATTTTTGGCCAATCTTTTTATTTAAGGTAAATGTAGAGCTAATTTAGTCGGCATCGGAATATTGTCTTGAGTTATGAAAAAGGAAGAGAATAATTTAACGATTATATCCAATTAGCGATATCCAAAACAATCTATCATCAAGTTTTTAATCATTTTAATTATTATAAGCCATTACACCATTGAGATCTTTACGTTATATTACGATATTACTTAACGGATAATTTTTAATCCATTTGAGATTCAATTTCCAACATTTTTCCGTATACTCCCTGATTTTATACCGTAAGATATTGAAGATAGATACTTCTAAAATATAAACTAAATTTATCGTCCTTGAATTTATAAGGCATAGTTATAGACTAATAAACTGAGATTTTTCATCTCCAATAAATATGATTTTAGCCGGAATTATTTTTCTTCTTTGACTTCTTGACAGAAAATAGAACAGAGTTATGTCGTAGGATTATTTTTTATAACTTTTTCGTCTATTTCAGTCCAATTTACGTTTTCTTCCAAACCCTTCTTATAATTGATGCTACAAAATTTCTTTATGGAGCTCTTTTCCATCCATTTTTTCGCCTGTTCTATGATTAAAAGGGACCCTTACCGCAGAATAAATATGATTTTATTCAATTTCCTTCACCCTAATACACTTTCTATGTTGATTTGATTAAGAGATAGAAATCGTAGAAGTTTAGAGATAGTATCGCGTGTTTTACTGTTTTGCTAATATAGACTAGCTTACACGGACTTTTTTAAATATTGTAATAAAGCAGATTTTTATCTTTAGTTTTCGTAGGTCTAACTTTATTGTGAGTTAGTAAACTAATAGAGAATAAGATATAGTCTGCCGTATTACACCGCTTAATAGTGTTTATTGCCTATTAAGTGATCAAAGAAAATGAAATGCTCACTTAACTCTTAACGAGAGCTTTTATCTAATTTATGACTTAAGATGAGACTATAAGATAAAGGAATAATAATTTTACTAAAATTATTCTCCTCTTAACTTTTAGCCATCATTTCACTCATTTCTTAATTAAAAAAATAGGAATCTTACTTAGAATCAACATGATTTTTATCCAGTTGACATCCTCTTCCTTTTCATTTTTATAATAAATGTGGCGGAAATCTGTTATAATGATTTCTTAATAACTATATTTATCCATTATTCATCATAGAAGATAACTCTTTCCTTTAGAATCAAAGCGGTTTGGCAATTTTTATTTTCCTTTCCTCATCATCTTTACGAATCTATTAGATAAAACGGAATTCCACTATCAATTTATTTCTTATTAACTATTTCCATCTGCTAATGGCTCATATAAGCGAACACTCTTAGTCAGAAATGATTAAGGCTTACTAAATTTACTTTCCCACACACTTGTTCATTTTTTTATCATTTTAAAATTATATACCAGATATCGTAAAATACTACCGTAGGGCTTCATTTTCACAGGAATCTTACTTAGTTTTCTTTAATTACGGTACATCAATAAGATCAAGATTTTATCCCTTAAATCGAATAAGAATATCTATTGTACCTATCTAAGCTTTATTGATTTCATTTAATTTATTTAAATAGCAATCAAGGGAAAGTAAATGGAAGGAAAAACTATAGTTACAATTGCTATTGCAATCTTCTCCTTATTCTTCTATCCTAACTTTATTCCCATTTGATCGAAATTTTTCCCTTGTATCCCAACCTTTCATACTTTTTAGTAAAACAAAATATCTAAATTTCTGCTTAATTGGCGAACTATACTATATTATACAGCCATGGTTTTAAGCAAAGATTGCACTTTAATCTAATCTAACTCACTTTTACAGTATAGTTAAAGGATTGCCTAACCTTCCATTTTCAAGAAGTTTTACCATTCAGTAAGAGAAATCAGCTTGATCAGCTTAAATCATGATAAATCGAGATAGCGTGTTCATTTATCATTCTATGTTAATTTCATATATTTTAAAAATTATCTTACATCTCTGATAGCAGTGTTTTTGCTACATTACTCGTATATGCTTGACTAAATTAAAATCCTGATCACAGATTAACTTTTAGCATTTCCAGATGGAAAAGTTTACCAATACAGTCGTAACATTTGTTATACGATAAAGATCCATCACTACAAAATATTGATGAAATAGAATCTCTAGCTATTCCATATTATTTAACTAATTTAATTTGCCATCAATAAAGAAAGATAGCTACGGTATAAGGTATTATTGCAATAAAATCTACAGTTATTCTACGACCAGTTTAGGTTGTCATGAAAGATAGTAACTTAACTGCAAGTTAATAGTAATATATAATCAGTAACTAAGTTACGGTATTCAGACGATTTAATTTATAGCTATCCTGCCCTATGCTCCTTTAGCCAGAATAATACCAATCGTTCCTGATCTAATTTACTCGTCTTTTAGGATCAAAGACAGTATAACATGGATGAAAATACAAGAGGACAATCGTTTGGATTTCGAGCAGGCTATCAGATGGCGATAGTCACTTTTGCCGTTAATATAGATACTATGCTACGATTTCCTCATTACTGCATGTATTATGGAGGAGGTAATCACTACTGCATTTTTCATACAGAATTAATTAGAGTTCCACTGTCTTAGCAACTTGTATTTAATTTTACTGTATGATTGTTAATCTTAAGTACAGCTATTTCTTGATGATATTTGTTCATATTTACTATTTATTTCTGCATTATAAGTATTTTAAAAGCATCTTAAATGCCTTTTACAAACTCTACATTTTGCAGGTGCTTTCTTTATCCCATATTTCCTAGCAATGATCATTCTAGGTGTATTTTCAGTTTATCTGGAAACATTAATTGGGCAAATCACCAAGCTAGGACCATTACAAGCTTGGAATAAGTTATTACCACCGATGAAAGGTATCGCCAAAAATTAGTAAATGGCTAGAAAGGGCCTATCATAGTGTCAAAATTTGACTCAATTATTTTTTGGCAAGTTAATGGTATAGCATTTTAAACCACGAATTGACGCCAAATATGATAATTTATCAATATTAAATATTATAGCAGTATAATATTGCTTAAATTAAGATCGATACTTTAGAAAATTGGCCAGCATCAGAAGAAATTATAAATTGTTAGTATTATACCGAGCTAATATCAACATTTTATTAATACATACTCAGCCTTAAAAAGCTAATAGAAGTAGGTTATGATTTACTCATTCTTCAAATATTATACCTAGGGTAATATCCATTAATCACTAAATAATTCAGCGTAGATGGGCCTAACTGAAGCCATACCATGATTCATTAGCGTAAAAGATTAGCGTAATCTTACACTTAAGCTAATATTAAATACTATATTCAAGCATAATATAGTTTCTAAGTATTATGGGCGTCAATATGATTTTAAACAAATAACCAATATTTCAAACTAGATGTATACTAATGATATCGTAATGTTATTAGTAGGTAAAAGCAAATTCTCTTAACATGTTTCTCTACATTGAAATCATATCTAGGTCTTGGATTTTTATATTGCTTATTTGGCTTATTTACCATGGCATATTATTTCGCAAATATGTCCTATGCCCTTTATTACTTCTATTTAGTCAATGCTAATACCTTTAATATTTCAACATGTAACAATACTTGGAATTCACCAAATTGTACAGTATCGTACAATTTTTCCTGTCTACCCAATACAACTCTACCAAGCAACGTTTCTATGACCATGCTACCAACTACTCTACCTACAACACAAGCAGCGACAGTGATGAATTCAACACCTGTAGGTAATTTATCCAACATCACAACTACTCCAGTAACACCATTAATACCATGCCCTCAGTACAAAGGTTTGATGTCCAATTTAGCAGAAGCTGAATTTTTCAGGTAAGAAACAGCATGGTATTAAAATTGAATGCTAGGATAGAGCATTTAGTATTCTTTCTATCTCGTTTGTATAAATTTTTCGCAGATGTTTATAATTAAAGAAAATTTACTGAGAGATAATCTTATGATCATTACCTTCAAATACCTGTTGTTCACATGTCTAATATTTCTGTAAATCTAAAAGCTATGCCTTGGAGAGATCCTTCTATTTATGCTATCGGATCATCTTTGAATACCTGTTACTCACGGGTTCATTATGGTCTCTAGGCTGCATTATTCGCCTTTTCCGATAGCATATCACTTTCAAATACCTGCCAATCATATATCTACTATAGCAACCCTTTTACTTGAGAGCTACAGCGTGCTATGTAGACGCTATATCTCTATTTGATGAACCTTGTATCTTGTCACTTTCGAATATTCAGTGTCTGATCTATTTCATCATCATCGTAACAGTTCTTTAGGTTTTACTAGTAAAATCTATACACCATATTCTAATTCGTTGCTCTGGTCTATTATTTGCATATTTTTAAGAAATTATGCCTTCGAAGGTACTCCTGCTCCTAATCAACTTGGCTCATTAATTCCATCGCTAGTGGCCTGCTCATTGATCGCGTGGTTGATTACATTTGTAATCATGTTAGTTGGCCTGAGATCTTTGCGATTTGTATGTTCTATAAGCTATTTCCATATTATAAGATTAATTATTTCCCTCATTGTTCCTAATAGTACTGTCTAAAGCACAATCGCCCACTTATAGACTCTACCTAAATATCTATTAGTACAGTAATCCAATGCTATACAGTCGTAGTTTCTATTAAACTATTGATATTTTGCAATTTACAAGTATACACCTATGTCCTGTACGAGTATTTGCATTAAATTGAATTTAATAAGGATAATTCTGTCTAACTTTGCTGTCAATATGGGTCAATTTTAGTTACCTTCAATTTATGGAGCTAAAAACTGTTACGGATAATTTGATAGTAATAATAAAATAAGATATTCGTTTCATTACATCTATTTCTATCTCTATTAAATCTGTACTATAAAAGTAATGTAATAATATAGTTGAAGATATTGACCTTTCACTAACTTCTTTTTCTGCTACCCAACATATCATAAAGTTCATTTCTTATCTTTATCAAATCTTCTAAATTAGTTTGGTTTCCTCCTTGTCATTCTATCATTTGCATTTATCATCATGATGATTATCGTCATTCAAGATTTAGATGGAGCAAGAGATGGTATTTTATATTTGGTAACACCTCATTATAGCTACTTGCTCCAGCCTAGTACATGGGCTATTGCTGGACTTCATGCAATATGGACTTTATCGGTGGGCTATGGTACTTACGCCCATTTTGGCTATCGAAATAAAGCCAATACTAATCCGTTTTGGTATAAAAATATTCGCTTTACCACAATTCACTACTATTAAACGTGTTAATCTATCATGGATATGTTTTTAGCTGAACATTTATTTATTTTTTAATCTATCAAAAATTAGGAGCGCATTAATTACAGTCGCTATTGTGGCATTTTTTCAATTTTTTGTGGCTTATTGTATATTTGCTTACGTTGGCTTTATTGGCAAGCAGACTAATCAACTGAAATTTGTGCTACAAAACCTGGATCAAGGTAAACCATCGTCATCCTGGATGTATGTCTTTAATTTATCCAAAGTTGTATCGCCAATGTACATTAGTTACACAATATCCGTGACAGTTTTTCATAGCTATCTATAAACTTTATTTGTATTACACCGTAGTTCATGTCCTACATTCAGGCATAATGTAATTTCTAATATGACTGTCTATACTAAAAGTGAAAATAATAATATTATCTTATCCTGTATAACTATTAGGTATTGGTTTGCTATTTATAATCCTACCCATCTTTACCAATTTTATTCCTGAAATGGTTCATTGGTTGGGATTTTATTATATTATATTTGTTCTAATTGCTGCTGGAACTCAGGTAGCTTCTATAATTTATTAACTGTTAATACAATGTTACCAAACATATAGCAAATGGTAGAGTTCTATCAACGGCATACATTTCAAATTGATAAAATGATATGCTTAAGCATACTAGTGGCATCACACTTAATTCTTTGTGATAGGAATCGATTCTTTTAATGCTCGAATATTTGCTTGCCGCAAATATTCTCTTGAAGATTTAAGAAATTTGATAATTATAATTATAAGTAGCATTCTAATCCAGAGCCTATAATTATGAATAATATATCTTATTCCAGTACCCATAGTGCCCGAAACATTCTTATATCTAAATTCGAATTCTTTAGTATTCGATTGATTATAATATGCCTATATCCTTAGAATGGCTAGTTTAATAATTCTTATAAAATGAAGATATTCTAGTCTAGTATCTATGATAATCATTTTCATATCTGAATTTGAGTTTTTTAGTATTCAGCAGATTATAGTTCGTTTATACCTTTAGAACGGTAAGTTTAAGAGCTCTTTAAAAATGATAAACGGATATTGAAGATTGACAAAAATTTTCTAAAATTATGGTTAAGCATATTCTATTCCAGTACCCACAGTAATCTTTCTTATACCTGAACTTGAGTTCTTTACTCTTCAGCTAGTTATACACCAATATCTTTAGATATGACGAATTTATCAGTTCTTTTAAACTGACAAATGAATATTTAAGATTGGTAATAGCTTACTCTGATGATAATCTTGAATTATTTTACTCTCTACAAGCTATCGTGAAACGCTCATCTAGTAGCTTATTTATTGCTTTTTACAGTACTTAATATATTAGGCTTTATTGAAAAGAATTTTACTTTATCAGATCATTCAAAATACAAATTTATTTTAACATGGTAATCTAATCTCTGCGGTGGTATTTTAGCAGTCACTGGCTTCATATAATAATAACCCGAAAATGCTCTTTAAACCCATGTATTATTTACCAAAATGCATGATATATGCGGTAGTCCTGCATAACAATTCATTTTAGTTAGTATATTCAACAAGAGATAGCATGCAATGATATTAAGTGACGCCAACATACTGAATTGCAACATTGTAACTACTGTCTATTTTCTCTATTAAGTCACCCCAAAAGATTCACATATAAGGTAGATATCCACAACAACGCCATCAAATGTTTTTCTAATATTAATCTTTCTAGGCGATGCTATTGGAAACTGTTTCTTCTATTATTTACGACGAATTACCGGAGAAAGTGCGAGCCTATAAATGGCCAGTTCGATTAATATTGTCTTACGTCGTCTTAGGATTCAGTCTTTTTTGTGAAATTCAGGTAGGATTATTAATCATACCTGGAATTAATTTATGGCAAACTATATCACAATAATAAATGGTTAACCGCTGCATGTTTATTTGATCGAAAATAGAATGGCTATCATATTCTAACTGCTATGGGTAAGGTAATACAAGATTGGTCAATCATCATGCTGATTTTGCAGTCATTGACACTAGCTTATGTCTTCGGTAAGCACACTGCATTCGAAATAAAAAAACATATTTTAATTTTATGAGCAGAAATATTGGTCGATAAACTTCTGGATTACGCGATCGTAATAATAGAAGTACTTAATGTACGTAAAATCCTAGTTAAGGAATAATTTCCATCCTTAGGTATGGGAACACGGATTGAAAGTAATATGGCCAAATACAACCGACCTCGCATGTTAATCTTCTGGCTCACTGGTTCTATCATAGTTGCACTTTTAGCTATCGTAAGTTATATCTTTAACAATATATACGATGAACCTAATATTTGATTATAATGATATAAAATATATCACAAGAATTTAATACGATAGAGAGGCGAAATATTTCTACTATCGAGGTTTTTTTGAATCAACCAATTAAGTATGTGACATCATTGTATGAAAAATATATCACAAGAATTAATACGATAAAGAGTAAAAGCACTTCTGCTATCGAAGTTTTACGGATTAGATATGTGATACTATTATATGAAAACATATTGCAAGAATTGAATATGATAATGAGTCGAAAAATTCTACTACAAAGGCATTCAAGGATTAAATTTAAAATATATTTACGACAGTGAATTTAAAAGAGTCTCGTATCATTCAGAAAAAATATAATAGAGGATAACCTATATTAATTTTATACAGCCACAGATGTACAATCGATGTTATTTTAGCCATAATGTTGATTTCAAAATTTGAAATTAATTAAAGGAGGAGCACAATTACAGTAATATCCATTAGCAATGCTTTAGCAATTAAGAAAATAAATTTTATTGCCTAGTAAAATATATTATAAATTCTTGCCTGAGCAACGATATTCGTTTATCGTAATTTGAAATAAGCGAACGACCATGTTACCTAGGATTATTCAATCTAGATATAGTGAAAAGCTCTAACATCTGTAAAATAGAGCTCATAAAATATAGATATTAAGATATTTCATATAAATTACAATCGCAAAAATTAATTCTTAAATAATAATAAGTTGTCGCTGAAATTGGAAATTATTTACTCTTGCAGCTCCTTTTCATTTACTATCAAATCTACAATGTTACCATTAATCGTCCGTCTGATTTAGCCATGGCAAAAGTGATGTTTTACATTATATTGGGCATTAGCGGTGGCATTCTCGTCACCGTGATGATTGTTAAACTTATGGGAGTATGCGATCAATCAGTTGGACAAGAAGATAACCAATTAAATATGGATGTTGGATTTAAAAGGCGATCGCCAGCCAGAAGAGATACCGGAGTACAACGATTAGTGGGAAACCGAGAAGAGTAAACTACTCTAAAATAACGTAATAATGACAGTAATAAACGCTTTCGATATTAACAATAAATTATATGAAAAATTTGAGCATTTGGTGGTAGAAAAGTGTACTGTACACTTTCATTAGCATTTTCGCGTTATAAAAATATACAAATATTTCGTTCGACCAGTTCAGCCATGCTGACGTATGCGATTTCATCTCGGATCAAGCTAACTAAAAGTTCAAAAAATCTTACTTTACCTTCGAGCTGTCTTTGATCTCTTTGTATTTAGTTAACAGCGGTAGTTATAAATGTGATTATTTGTGTTAGTTACTTACATTATTGAATTCAGCTTGTGCAGTCTTTTCCATTACTTACTTCAAGTATAGATTGTAAAATGTCTAATATTAATCCCAGTAAAGAAGCTGCAAATGGTGGCTGTAAAATTGAAAGATATCGAATTCTTCATTAACTATTAATCTTTCATGATCTTTAACATTATTATATAAAAATTAAAGTACAGTATAGCACAAATTATAGTTTAAAGTAGTTAAAATTATGAACTTGAAAGTTATCTGGCGATAGTATCTACACTCTTTATTCACAATCAATGCTCTCTTTACCTTGGAGTTTAATGTAGTGTGTAAACGCTTCAACCATATTTCGTCTTCTTTTTTCTGCTCTTCTATCTATAATAGTGTCATCATTTGTGTAACAATGTATGTAAAATTAATAAAGTAAGAATCTATAAAGATGTAGCATGAAGAGTGACTAAAAATTATATATGCAATAAAGTAACATGATAAACTTATTACAATTCTCAAGAGGTTTCATCAAATTCAGGAGTTCCAATATTTAACCCAAGTACAATCATTTATACTCGGATACTGTATATATGAGCAAATTCTTCATCTACTTTTACATAAATTGAAGTAAGGATGTCGTAACCGATGCACTTCTGCAGCTAGATATAGACTCGTAATTAAGTACAGAATTTGGTGCTCTTAAAACTCTTACTAGTAACTACTATCTTTAAGAGATAATGAAATACCAATATAGCTTCATTTTTACTAGTGTTGATTGCAACCTTTTAATTTAGACCTACACTTTTACAAATTTATCAGTTAGCCATTAATGAATGTTCTGGTTCATGAAAAATTTCGGTATACCTACAGGAAACTCAAATATTTTCTTATGGATTTACCTTAGAACATTCTTGCAATGCTGTTGCCGATTGCATAATTTCGTCCAAGTCGTTATCAGACAAATTTAAAATAGAACATGCCATCAATTTTGCCTTTTTAATAGTATCCGATGATAGATCTTCCTGGTCTAGATTATTTACCGGAGATGTTGCAAGAACGTTGCGATAGCTACCGAGCTGCTTTAACATTTCTTCAATCAGTGCCTATGCGATTTAATTAAGAATCCAAGTTAATATTTATTTCAATTATAACTTACTATTTATTAATAAATTAATTCTTTAATTGATACCTTGGCAAAAGCATTAAATTCATCGATAACTTGATAGGCCTGTTTAAGCTTTTCTCTTGCTGCGGATAGAGCATTTTGACTATCATTGGCTAAACCTTGCATCTGTTCGGTTGCTGCAGCTTCCACCGCATTTGCTACAGCAGTAGCTCGTGAATATTTTGCTTGCACTTGATTTAACTGCATGTTCTAGAG